CTATTATTATTGTAACATAAAAATAACAGTTATCAGTATAGTATCAGTAGAATCATCATCATTCAAAGATTTTTCAAATTAGTGGCTTAGTTTTTCTCCATCTCTTCTCCTACCAAAGTCTGTTATGAAATGTTATTAACTTGAGTTTTGGGAGAGGTTATGTGTTTTATATTAATCTTGTTAGACTATGTTTACATATGTTGTTGAACAATGAGAAGTTAAATATCAGGGTTTGAAAGTACCTGAAACATTGTATTTTCACGTTGGGCTTTGTTTTTTCTAAGTATACAGTATATTAACCACTATAAACTGAATATGAATTGGATCCTCTAGGTAATTTATATCATTAGTATATCAAAAAGTGAACTTAATCTTTCTCCTCTTCTTGCTTCTTTCTCCTTTCTTTCTTTTGTTTTTTAAAAATTCTCATTGTTTCCGCATGCATATATTAGTTATCTATCATTACCAAGTATTATACAAGGGAATGGGCATGCAATTTTGAATAATATAGTTCCTTCCCTTATGTTTTTTATAAACTAGGTCAGGAGACCTATTAAAAATGAATTACAGATATAATTATTTCATAGAGTTGGTGAGTGCAATGAAAGCAAACTTAGTATTCAATGAGAGTAAATAACATGCAAACAAGATAGAGATCTAACTTAAGTCTGTGGGATGTGAGGAGAGCTGAGATGCCAACCCTGAGCTGAGATAGGAAGGATGAGGTGGGGAAATTTCTAGGTAGAAGTATTATAATTTTCCTCAGATTTATGCTTCCTTTCTTTTTCCATCCTCCTCTCAGTCACTCAGACTTAAAAATTCTTCACATATCTGTGACATTTGGTTCTCTTTCGCCTCCACAAATAATTAGCTGCCCAATGTATTCTTCAGTCAGCATTTTCTTTCTTCTGGTCCCATGAAAGATTGAATTTCCAATTGTACAACATTAGTTACACCCAGCTGTACTTTTTCCTGTAGCTTTATATTTTTTCTTTCACTCAACAAACATTTATTGAGACTTTTCTGCATATGAGGACTCCGTTAGCACCAGTGTCACAGATGAATATGGCTGCCACAGAGCCTGCAACCTGCTAGAGGGAAGAGAGGATTAAGAAGTAGGGATTATATGCTAAGCCATGGAAAGGCCCTTCTCTTTCTAAAGTTATATAAAGCACACACAGTCAAAAGAGACTGCACATGGAAAAACTGGAGGGCTTGCATGGGTGGAAAGTAATGATGCAGTTAAGATGAGCTGGATTCAATTGTGAAGAGCCTTGTCAGCCATCTTAAATAATATTGACTTTTCCCTAAGAATGCAGAGAGCCACTGAAAGGTTTTAAGCAGGACAGTGAGGTAATCAGAAATGTCCCAGCAGTTTACATTTGGGGACTAATATGAAGAACACTGCAATAAGATAGGGAAAAGAAAGTTTGGTAGGAAGATAATGAACTCATGTCTTTTTGTTTTTTTCCTCCCAACTATTCTCTCACATTCAGTCTCTTCCTTTTCCATTGCCCAACTAATTTTTTGACATGCTACTGATGGATGAATTCCTTGGTGCACACTTCTGATCTTAATTCAAAAAATTTTAGTGGTGTGTCTTTTGCTCGTGGAATAAATAAAATTTCATGTTCTTGGAATAAAATAAATTCCTCATCCTATTAGTGCTTACACTTATCTAGCCTCATCTCTATTTTATAGCTTTATTTCTAGTATTCCTCTTTATGTCCTGACTGTAACTGTACTCTCCACACTCTGGAACTGTCCCACAACATATTTTGTTTTGGGTTCCCTCCCTCTTTCCTGTTTACCTACAAACTTAAATCTGTTCCTCCTCAGGTTCTTACTCAGATGTCATCCCTCCTAGTAGAACTTCATTAGTTTTTACTGAAAGTAATTTTCCCCTCCTCTAAAATCCTTACACTACTGTTCACAGGATAATGACATTGGTCACCTTCCCTGCTAATAGAGCCCTTTTGAGAGACAGAGTCACCTAGTTTTCTTATGAGAATGAACTCTGGAGTCAAACCACCTCCATTCAGATCCTGTCTCTGACACCTCCTAGCTGTGAGACCTGGGGATATCACTTAAATTTTTTATTCCTCAAGTCTGTAAAATAAATGTCCCTAATTTATAAGTGTTGTGAGGATGAAGTGATTACATATATGTAAAAATTTTTTGTGCCTAGCATACATTAAGTACTATGTAAACATTTAGCATGATAATATCATTATTTTCATCATTTACATGTAATATCTACTCTACTAAATTATAACCAATTTGAGTACCTAATCCATATCATATTTTTTGTGGCTTCCAAATCCTTTACTTCCCTACACAAAGTAAATATCAAAAATTATAATTAGAACTAGAATCACAATGATTAGTGAACCCTAATGTTTTTCCTGTGCAACTTAGTGAGACCCTCTCTCAAAGTTAAAAACAAAACAAAAGATGTAGCTCAGCACCCATGAGTTCAATCCTTGGTCCTCCCCACAAAAAATAAAATAATTCATTAAAATAATGGGGTACAATTATACTATAATCAAAATGGTAACTTTGGAAGAAAGAATAAATATATCAACTCTCTTAATAACATTAGCCAATGCTATTGAATATTCAAAGTACCATGCACTGTTTTCTTACCCCACATGATTGCATTTAAACATAAACAATACCAGAATGAAGTATTATTAATTTTTTTGTCTGTTTACAAATGAGTCATCTGAGGCAATGTTAAGTAATTTGTGAAAGTCACACAATTAATAAAGAATAGAACTAAGACCATCCACATTGCCTCTGTACACCCAAAGCACAAATTCCTGTTCATTATTTACTGAACTGTTTTTAATAATACATTTTGTTAAGTTCACTAGGATTTAATTTCCTATGACTTTTTAAATGTATACTTCATCCATGGATGCTTTAAAAAATGGCTCATTATTTCATTTATTTCTAACTCAGTCTTTCCTTATAGTAACAAGCCCTCAAGTTCTTCATCTCTGAGATAAAATTTTGAAGGTGTATCAGTAGTTCCCAAACAGTAGAGGAGTAATTCTTTATTTAAATTTAAAAAGTATGCAGAATTCTGCATTATAATTATTCACCTTTGCTCATTCATTTACTCATTCAGAGTTAGCTTACTGTATAATGGTAAGTTTTACAATAACTCCCAGGATTTTTGCAGTCTTAGGAGTCCTCTGTTCTAGAATTATTTCTAAAGCCATTGCTAGGAGAAATTTTTGAGATTTTATGTGTTCTATATTTTAGATTCCTAGACTCTAATCTGTATTTCTCCCAGGCATAAAAAAGGAACATGTATACGCCCCAAGGTTTCTCTATTTGTTTTCCTCTTAAGTTTTCTTTCCATTTTTCAGCTTTGGTTCCTTAAAAAATAATAGAGCTTGCTTTGCAGAACTCATAATTAGTGTTAGATTCTTGTGCTAATGAAATAAGTCTAAAATATATGAGCTAAAATACAATACAAATTTATAGAGACAAGTCTGAAATCTATGAGCTAAAACAGAATATAAATTTATAGAAACTTAACCTGTTCTATGAAAATAATAAATAAAAGAAGGGGTTTTATATTATTTTTTGAAATTTTGCCAAATTTAAACATTTTTCTGAAAAATTCTGAAGACAAATCTTGATCTGTATCTTTACAATAACTAGTGAATTGGAAAATTAAAGTACTGTGTTATGTATGGCCCCAGGAATGCATGTCTCTTGTACAAACAAACAAACAACAACAACAACAGACATATGTGTGTATGTATGGCCCCAGGAATGCATGTCTCTGGTACAAACAACAACAACAACAACAACAACAATAGGGTTTTGGCAGTGGCTGTATTTTCTGTTGTGATGGTCTTGATTTCAACAGAATCAGTTCAGGCCAGCTGCTCTACCAGAATAACACAAATCTGCATTTTTCAACAGCATTAATCCTTTAGTGCTACACAGAGCTCTTTAGGCATGGTCAAACCAATTCTTAGTTTACAAGACCTTGCTGAAAATCAAACAGCAGTATATGAAAGGTGATAGAATGCCTTGCAAATATCTTTTGGATGCCCCATGCCCCACCATCACTTAGAATGAGCCACTCACTCCTTAATAATCCTACTGGAACTGTACAGATATTTACCACAGTAACTATGTTACTTTAATTCAAATCCCTATTTACATTTCTTTTCACTCCTAATTGGCCTTTGGATCTTGTATCAGCAGCACATACCACAATGCTCAAAATGTTTAATTATTACTTGTTGAATGAAAATTCTGGAGTAAGAAGCAAGGAGTTAGTGAATTAATGGACCCAAATAATATGAAGTAAAAATGAGCTGGCTATTCCTGTAATCCCAGCTACCCAGAAAGTTGAGGCAAGAGCAGTTCAAGGCCCACCTGACCAACTTAGTGAGACCCTGTCCCAAAATAAAATGAATATAAGGCCTGAGGATGTAGCTCATTGGTAGTGCTTGCTTAGCATGCACAAAGCCCTAGTTTTGATCCCCAGGAGTTCAAATGAAGAAGAAAAAAAGTAACAATGGAATGAGAGATTATTTATAGGGAGTGCAGTCTGGGGTGATTTTAGGAATTTTAGGGCTACCTCAGAGATCAGAAAGGTATTGTAGGTGGGAATAAACAAGGCTGTGGTGGAGAATGCCAATAGGGGTCACCTAGCTTGCCTATGTTGGGAAGTAAAAAGAGGTTAAGTTTGGACTACTAGAGACATAGAAATAGTTAATAGAAACTCCTCAATGTTGCATATAAAGAATTTATATTTTATTTTAAGGTAAAAAAAACAATTTGAAGTAGAGACTGTAGTCTTTCAATCTGGACAATGAGTGATTAAAGTATCATTTTAAAGAATTATTCAAATAAGTGTGTGCTTATATAAACTTCAGGTATACAAAACATCAGGTTATGAAATATTAACTTTAGTCTGTGGGTCATCAGCTGATCCTGAAGTTTTCTTTCTTTGTGTTCTCATCCTACAGGTTGTTATTTTGTATTTTAAGCCAAGTACATTTCGCTGTATTCTCCTAAGATGGGTCCGTCTTCTTGGTTTTGCCACTGTTTATGGAACAGTCACTCTCAAGCTTCACAGGTATATTTTATTAGTCTTTCATTTCTATAGAAAGATCAGATTATTTGGTTTTGCATGTAATGATAGCTGGATTGGCCTCTTCGATGGTTTAATTTCAAGAATTTAGATAGCAAGATGATATGTAGTTTTCAATTTCAAAGCAATTGCTTTAAAGTCTCTAAGGAAATTTTTAATATAACAGAACTCTTTGATGCTTTAGTAAAATGTCATCAATTATGGAAAGGGTTAGTTCTAAAAAAATTAGAATGTTAAATAGTATTTACTAGCTAAAAACAGGAAGGAATACAAAGAAAATACAGCTGAAATGATGATTCATGTCTGAGTTACCATGGAATCCTGTTTGGGAGAATTGAGCTATATCCTTGTTTGACAAGAACTATTGTCCTCCATTCCCAATTTCCATGTTCCAGGGTAATCCTGCTGATCAATTCTATGAGCAAAGTTAATTTCTTGGTTTTCATCCTTAACTAATATGTTTCAGTGATTATCAACCTTGACAATGAAGAATACCATAAATTTCTTTAGACTTGGTTTCAAAACTAAATATATTAAGAATGAGGCAATAAAACAAACTACCTGTCCACAGTGGCAAGGGTTGGCTTGAAATTATTGAAGACTTTTTTCTTGCTTCCTGTTTCCAAGTTTAAAGAAAATCTTAGTGATGTTGTGCCAAAAAACATCAGAGAAAGAATTCTCCAGTAGGAATAAACTGTAACCATATAGAGAAAACTCTTGTATGAATTATCTTTAAACTTTTTTGATAACCATAGTAAGCCATTCATGCTAATTTGGTAATAGTGTTTCTCAGTAAAAGTCTTTGAATATGAGTCTGTATTATACAATGGTTTATTTTAGATGTCATAATATGCTTCAGAAACATAACACATTTGTTTTTAAATGTCTACCCTTTCAACCTTTAAAAAATATGATAATTATACCACATAAGAATCTATTTCTTTTCCTTTCCTGTGTCTCTCTCCCTCCCTTCCCTTTCTAACTCTCCTTCCTCCTCTCCTCTCTCCTTCTCTCTCTTTATTTCCCCTCCCTTCCTCCCTTCCTTCCTTCCTTCCTTCCTTTTCTTCTTTTCCATACTTAATTACTGGGAATGCTCCAAATTATCTTTTTGGAACAAATATGAATATTCTTGACTCTCAAAATTTCTTTGTTATATACATGGTAAATTGCAAAGAATATTGGAATGACTTTGAGATGATCCAATTTAAATCTGAATTTGGCTTCATATCTAGGAAATCAAGGCCTATCTTTCTTATAAAGGAGAGGCTTGGATGATCTAAAATGTTCTTTCTGGCCTTCCCTCTTTTGTTCCACATTACAGCACACTTTGCTACTGTGTCCTTCTGCTCTTCAAGTGCCTTCCAGATATCCCATTCTTTATATGATAGCTATTTCAACTGATACTCACTAAAGAAGATAAGAAATCAATGATAGCATTTAGTATACTGTAACCCTTCTAGAAATGCTGAAAGAATAGGTATATTTCTGTGTTTTGAAAATTACTTCTTACCCTACTAGTCTAATGCTTAGTGTCTATTGTAATACTTTTTACAGCTCTATAGTTTTCTTAATTATTTCTCTTTTTCACTAATTTACCTTCTCCTTGAGAGTCTTACCACTGAACTCCTAGCACTCAGCACAATGACAGACGGATACATGAAAGGTATTTAAAACTAAAAAGCTGCTTCTCAGCAAAGGAAATAATCAACAAGGTGAAGAGAGTGCCTACAGAATAGGAGAAAATCTTTACCACAAGCACCTCAGAGCATTAATCTCCAGGATACATAAAGGACTCAAAACACTTAACACCAAAAAAGCAAATAACCCAGTCAACAAATGAGCTAAGGATCTGAACATATACTTCACAGAAGAAGAAATACAAATGGCCAACAAATGTATGAAAAACTGTTGAACATCTCTAACAATTAGAGAATACAAATAAAAAATACAATAAGATTTTATCTCACTCCAGTCAGAATGGCAATTATCAAGAATACAAGCAACAATAAATGTTGGCAAGAACGTGAGGAAAAAGGTACACACATTCACTGCTGGTGGGACTATAAATTGGTATGATCATTGTGGAAAACAGTATGGAGATTCCTCAGAAAACTTGGTGTAGAACCACCATTTGACCAAGCTATTGCACTTCCTCAGTATATATCCAAAGGATTTAAAATCAGCATATTACATTGACACAGCCACATCAATGTTTATAGCAGCTCAACTCACAATAGCTGAAGTATGGAACCAACCTAGGTACCCTTCAAGAGAGGACTGAATAAAGAAAATGTGGTATATATACACAGTGGTATATTATTCAGCCTCAAACAGGGATGAAATTATGGCATTTGCTGATAAATTGATGGAGCTAGAAAGCATCATGCTAAGCAAAATAAGCCAATCCCAAAGAACCAAAGGCCAAATGTTTTCTCTGACAGGCAGATGCTAATTCACACTAAGCGGGTGGGTAGGGAAGAATAGAGGTTACTTTTGATTAGACAGAGGGGAGTGAAGGGAGGGGAGAGGGTAAAGAAGTAGGAAGGATTGATTGTAGAATTAATCAGACATTATCACCCTATGTGCATGCATGATTACACCACTGGTGTAACTCTACACCATGTACTATCAGAAGAATGAAAAGTTATAGTCTATTTATGTATGATTTGTCAAAATGCATTCTTGTGTCATGTATAACTAATTAGAATAAATTAAAAAACATTAATGGATGAGTGAATGAATGAAAATGTCAGATGCAACTTGGCACCACTTCTCATAGTGCTCACCACACATAATATATTCACATTCCCTGAATTACTGTGTGCTACATCATTGTGTCCCCAAATGTCTAGAACACATAACTCTGTTTTGTGTGAAGGACATTTGGTAGAATTTGAACACAGCATAAAATACCACTGAATGATAAAGTGGTAAAATTACTTCTATTCTGATTCTCTTTCAATCATTTTTATTATTTCCAGGAGAAAGACAGAAACTAGTACGTATTAATACCTGTCTGATAGTTGATATTGGAACAAAGAGCAGATCAGGCTTCAGGCTCAGAGCTTTTCACTGTTACTTGCTTTTTTTTTAAGATTCATTATTTTTGTTTTACTCTCTATATTTTTATAGTTATTTTTCATTTACAAAATTGTTATCTATTGTTTTTCTTTAAGATAATATAAAGTTTTTAAAAAAAATATTTTAAAACAAATAGAAACTGATTTAAAGAAAATACTAACTGGTTCACAGATAATCTTAAGGGTGGAATTTGAGAAACTGGATTACTTCATCATCTCTTTTGTTCATTTTAAAGACTGGAACTAAAACTATTTTTTCTCTATGTGGCTCTAAAAGTCATTGCAGTGAAGAATTACTCCACTAAAGGCTTAAATTGCCTGGAAACTATTTCTAATTTAATGAGCTGAATTATTCTTATCCTGTTATGAACCATATGGCTTTACTATTATATTCTGGATTTTATTTTCCATATTGCTTAAATTTAGCAGGCTATAATATTGTTTGTCAGTAAACTGAACAATCAGCATCCCAAAAAAACATGAGTAACTCGAAGGAAGGGCTGGCTAAGCCAGCTTTGTATTAGGCTTTACTTTGCCCATATTATGTATTCAGGTTTTTTTTTTTTGTTTTAATAAATGACTGGGTGGATGGTTCTAGTAAACGGAGCCACAAGGTATATTCTTGGTTGGTATTCCTGAGGAGTCCTTCTGAATAAAGGACATCTAAGCTTTTTAATGACAAGATAAAGAAGAAATACATAAATCTTGACAAACCAAATTTGAATTTCATTTCTACCATTACCTATTTATACTCGCAAGAATAAATTAACGTCTGAGAATTAGCCTTCTTATCTATAAAATGGTTTAATATCTCACTTGAAAAGTTGGAAATATTAAATATAACTTGAATGTACATAAATATATCAGTTTGGAATTGAGGGTTGCGAACCACAGGAACTGATATTAAACATTAAAGGAATTTACTGGAAGGATGTGGGGAAGGTCAGAGAATTAAAGGGAAAATTATAGAATCAAGTTGTAGGAGGACCTGATCCACAGTAAGTTATCAAAGTAGCCTTGGCTAAGGGGTAATATCTCTTGAATGCCATAGTCCATTTTCACAGGAATTTCATTTTTCATTTCAAGATTTTTTAAAAGTAAAATTAAGTCATATCCCTCTACACAGAAAATTCTAAGAAAATTATGAGTATAGATATATAAAATAATTGTTAGAGTTCCTTAAATTGGCAAGAAAGATGTGAATTTTTGTTTTACTCCAGCATTTCTCTCAAGCATTAGTGGAAATCTTGAACATTTCTTTCTCTGTCACCTGGTGTGGCACTGATTGATTATAGTGTCTATAGAATTTCTAGAGCATTGAAAACTAAAGCAAACATGAAGAAGATATAGGATCTTGTTGTATCTTTGGAAATGGTAATGTTTAGTCTGGAATGGAAACTTAAAAGCATTTACTTTTTTATTATTTATTTATTTATTTTGGTGGTGCTGGGAATTGAACCCAGGGCCTTGTGCATACAAGGCAAGCACTCTACCAACTGAACTATATCCCCAGCATTTACTTTTATCAAACATCTGATTTTTCCCTCTGGTGATCTCTTCCCACATTTGCAGCCATACAGCCAAAGACTGTCCTAACAATCCAAAGGAAAAAGCCCTCTGATTATCAACACAATACAACACAAAGGTGTGCAAAGTTGAGGTCAGGTTGGGATGGAATGTTCTATCCATTCTTGGAGGAGTATTTTAGCACTGACATAATTTAGAATCACCAGTATTCGGGATGATCAAAAGCAAACCAAATTTTATTTGTTGATCGGTTTATTTATTTAGAGTTATGGGGATTGAATCCAGGGCCTTACACAGGTTAAGCACGCACTCTACCACTGAGCCACATCCCCAGCCCCAGACGGACTTTTAGTTATTTTTATTATGCCCTTTCATTTT